TCGGCCTCACTTCCTCTCACTGACCCTTCAGGAGGGAGGAAAGTCGGCCTCACTTCCTCTCCTGACCCTTCAGCAGGAAGGAAAGTCTGGCTTTCCCCAGCAGGGCAGTGCTGCTCTGACTTATGTGTGCTTCAGGACATGAGATGTTAGTGAGCGCTTGGTCCCAAAGAGCAGGATCAGGGAAAGTGAGTGCTCCAGACACGCCAATCATGGTGCCCATCATCCCACAGCCACCCGGAGGCTTCTGCCCAGAGACGAGGATGACAGTGCCCAAGACTCTGGAGTGTGAAGGTGGAAATGCTGTTGAGAATGAGGGAGGTGGGGGGGGGCTGGAGGAAAAAGGGGTGTCATGCAGCCTGATACAGCAGGAGTGGAACAGGGCAGAATCTGCACAAGAGCTGGGGGAGCAGCCAGGCCCCCTGGCCCGTCAGCCAGCCTGTTTCAGGGTGTGTCGAGCAAGTCCGTGCTTCTTCCAGTTACACAGTCAGACTGTGCAGAAAGGCAGTGCCAACATCCTAGGAACCCGCACCTCCTTTCTGGCCAGTCAAATCCGCCCACAAGACTTCTCTCCCGGCCCCTTCCAGTCCTGGGAGGTCCCGTCTGACCCCTCTCTATGTACGCAGAGGTAAGTACCACAAGGCGCTTCATTCTGCACGTCCCAGGGCCTGGAATTCTGTGTGGCATGGAGTGAGTGCTCTTTGTATATACTACTTGTGCCATAAAATAATTCTCAGAGTTCCCCGGGGAGAGCCATCTGGTCCTCGGGAGGCCACCACCGGTCTTCCATCTGTGCTGAGTCAGCATCTCTGTCATCTGGCCCCTTCTGACCTCCCCTGCCTGCCGAGGGAGGGATGAGTCCATGCTGCTCATCACAGCATCCCCAGGAGCTCAGCACAGGAATGGGAGCGCTGGTCCCTGCTGTCCTGGAGCTCCTGTGGCTCCACGCCTGGGGCTCACAGGAAGCCGCACCTGCAGAGGCTCTAGTCCCGTGGCCATTGCCCTCAGGGCCTCACCCGCAGCAGCCTCAGGACCTCTCTTCTTTCATGCTCTCTGCATCTGACCCAAGACCCCCCTATTTGCACGCCTCCATCCCCCACCACTGCCCTTGCCTCGGCTCCTGACTCTGCGTGGTCCCCAAGGCCCCCGCTCCTTGCTCTGGTCCGAGACAACGCAGGCCAAGTGCAAATAACAGCCTGGGCAAGGGACACGAGCTGTACTGACTTTATTCCCCTTCGCTCTTCTCACTCGCGTGCCTTGATGCCCACACTCCAGGGCTGTGGGCCGCCTGTACACGACCAGATGTCAGTGGTCTCAGCACATGCCTGGGCATGGCCATTCTGCCACCACCAAGCCCTCTGTGAAGGGCACCGGGGAGACTGTGGGAGCAGGAGGGGTCGAAGGCTCCCAGAACTGTGGCCACAGGGCTCGAGTTTGTCACTCTTGCCACTCATCCCCAGCTGGCCTGAGACCAGAGAGCCCCAAGGGGCTGGGGAGGGGGCAAGCCCAGGCTTCAGACATGAGTTCTGGCCAAATGGACCGTGGGACCCCCAGTCTCCTTGAGAGGGGGTGATCCTGTGTTCCCCTTCTCCCAGCCCTGGGAATTGGGGATGGGGCCCCAGTCCCCTCATTCTGACATCTGGGGGCACATTGTTTAAAATAAAAAGGAGATATAAAAGCTAGAAAACAGGAACCCCTATCCATACCGGCACTGCTGAGGTGCCATTATTGCTTCTGGCCTTGTGGTCTGGCCAGAAAGGAACCCCCACCAGCAACCGCCCGAGTGAAGAGTGTTTAGCACCAGGGACGCAGGCTCCTACCCCAGTGTGACAGGGGTCTCCCAGGAGAGGGGCTCGTTGTGCCCACCTGGAGCTCCTGTGACCATCTTGACCAGTCCCTGGGCAGCTGTCTGGACCCCTCAGCTGCTGCCAGAGGGGAAGTGTACAAGAACAGGAAACCCGAGTCCCGGGACAGGGTCTCACTGCCAGCTCCCCACGCCTGTCTCTGACCTCTGCTTGTCAGTATGGCCCGACAGGTCTCAGCCTGGCCAGGGACACTCAGGCCCGCTCAGGCTGTAGTGGGGCCAGCAGGTGATGACGCCACCAGCCCATATGGGAGACCCTGGTGCCAGTGACGGGGGCTGGAAACCCATGGAGGTTCCTGCCTGTAGCCCACTGGGAGATCAACTTTTTTTGGAAAAATGTGAGCCAGCTCCGAAGAGCTGCCAGGCACTGGGACCAGAGGTTAGAAACAACGGGGAGTAAGGGGACCCTGAGGACATCATGGAAACCCAGAGATCAAGGAGTGCAAGGAAGAAAAAGAGCTACAGCAAAGCAGCAGCCTGGCATCCCCAGCCTCGGGGCGGGGGACCTGACCGCAAGCCTTCCTCCTCAGGGACAGCGGGGAGCGGGGGCCGAGCCTAAGTCTACAGCCCCAACATCAATTGGGCAGGGAAGCTGCTGGCACTGTCCCCTCCAAGCCCAGAGAACAACCAGGGTGCTGTGGCTTGGATTATAAATCCTCAGATCACTCGGGCACCTTGGGCCTGCCCAAATCTGTACAGAATAAAGTGCTTCGTTTATTGATGATTAAAATGTCCCCAGCTCCCTGCCCCAGCGCCATGGGCCTCACAGGGAGGTCAGAGGAGTTCAGTCCCCTAACCATCCCCCGGGGGCCCAAGCCTCTTCCCACTCCAGCCATGCTGGGAAGGCAATAGTGTCGGGAGTGGTGGGGGATTAAGGTGCAAAGAGTATAACAAACAAAACTGATGAACACAATAGGAAAGAGCTTAACTAGGAACATGTAGCTTATGGAACCTTCCTCCCCACATTAAAGGCAGGAATAAAGACGTTAAATGACAACAAAAAAGGGCTTCCTATTAGTGCTAGCCTCATGGGGGCGAGCAATGGGTCTAGGCTGCGCCTCCCAGTCCCCTCGGCCCCCCAGGGGCCTGAACATGCAGGCTCCCTTACCGGCAGCGTCATGGGCGCCCCACCCACCAGCGCAGAGGCCCAGGAGGGGCGAGGATGCTGGAGCCAGCCAGGGACAGGCTGCGGCAGGACCTAGAGCGACCTTTGGGGAGCAGAGACAGACACAGCCACACTAGTTCCTTCTGGTGTGGGATATACGGCCAGGGCAGCTGGTGAGGCACTGGGGTGCTCTGTGAGCAGCCGCCCTGCCCCTGCCTCACTAATAGCACCTTGAAACCAACACCGTCCAAGCCTCCTCCCAGGACTCTGCCCCCAGAGCCGGTGCCAGCCAGCCTGTCTGCCCACCCAGGGCCTGGCGGACAGTGCGGAGGCGCAGCCGCTTCTGGGGACATCGCCGGGACTCAGGGCCCTTGGTGCCACGTGGTGCGAGTCAGGGATCCCTGGGCCTGCAGGCAGGGGGTGGGTGGGGAGGGCAAGTCCCTGGGGTCCAGCCCCTGCCTGCCCCGCTCCACACAGTGCAGCGCTGGTCCGTGGCCTCCAAACCTCACCGCCCCAACCCCACACGCTGCCTCGTGCTTTCGGCGCTCAGACTGGGTCCGCAACTCCTCAGGGCGTGGGGGGGTGGCACACCAACGCCTCCCCAAACCCTCCAAGAAGAGGAAGCAAATCAGGGGCGCAGGAGACACGGGGATAGGCCGCGCAGGCTGACCCCGGCCCCACCTGGCCAACCCCTCTGGCTCAGGCCTTGGCACAGGGGCGGGCCACACCTGCTGCCCAGGCCCCTTTCTTCTGCTGCGCGCCCCCAGCACCCCCTCGCCTGGAGGGAGATGCTGCGAACGGTTTCCTTCCTTCACTTCCAGAAAAAAACAGTCGAGGCTCGAAGGAGTCACGGGAAGGGCGGCACCTGGGAGGGAGGTGCCCCCCAGCAGCTCCGGGGCGCCCCACGGTCGGGGCCTCGGCGGGGCAGGGCCCGGCCGCGCGGCTGCGCTCCCGGGAAGGCGGCGCCCCCCGTCCGGCCCCGGCCCCAGGCCCCGCGGGCGCAGCGCGGACGCCCCGCAGCTAGTTGCTGGCGCCCATCCTCCCGCCCGGGCCGGCGGCGGCGGGGAAGAGCGGGGGCGGCGGCGGCAGGCGCGGCGGGGGCGGGGCCGGGGGCAGCCCGAGCAGGGGCAGCGCGTGCGCCGGGGGCTGCGCCGGGGGCAGCGCGGGCGCCGCGGGGGCGCCGTCGCCGGGCGCGTGGCTGACCCGGAAGCACTTCTCCTTGTGCGCCTTGAGCATGTTGGAGAACCGGAAGCGCTGGCCGCACACGTCGCACGGGTATGGCTTCTCGCCCGTGTGCGTGCGCCGGTGCCGCTTCATGTTGGGCCGGCTGGTGAAGCTCTTGCCGCAGATCTCGCAGATGTAGGGCTTCTCTCCTGGGGGCCGGGGTGGGCAGCGGGGGTCAGCGAGGGGCCGCCGCAGCGCAGCCTGGGCCGGCCTCGCCTCCCACGGAGCCACAGCGGGGCCCGGCCCCGGCGCGCTCAGCTCCTCCCGCCCTGGGCATCGCGGGCCCGCCTCACCCGACCCTGGGGAGGGTGGGCACACGGAGGCCCGGCCTTGAGGAGGGGTGTGGCCCCGCACCTGTGTGGGTCTTCATGTGCTCGTCGAAGTACTGCTTCATGTTGAAGTCCTTGCCGCACCACTGGCACATGAACTGCTTGTGGCCGATGTGGATGCTCATGTGTGACCGCAGCTGGTACTTGTACTGGAAGCGCTCATTGCAGTTCTGGAGGTGGGGTGTGGGGGTGAGGCCCAGGTGCAGAGCAGAAGAGCAGCCTTTGCGGAGGGAGCAGCTCCCCTGTGGCCACTCAGAGGCCCCTGGGCAAGGAGGTGCTTGCCAAGGTGCTTCTGGGTGGGCAGTGCATGGGCACAAGACGAGAGGCCACAAGCACCCAAGGTGTGGGGGGGTCTGGGGTCAGGAAGTGGGAAAAAGCCAGAGAGTGGAGGGAGGCGCCAGGTCCCTCATCCTTCCTCCTGAGGAGAAGCCCAGCCCCTGCTCCCACCTCCCCGCGTGCAGCCCTGCCGTCTCATCTCTGAGCTCCCAGCCTGAGAAGCTCCTGAATCTACCTCCCCAGAAAGCCTGCCCGCCCACCCCCACACACGGTTCCCACCCTGAGTGTGTGGGGCTGGATTGGGGGAAGGAAGGGCAGGATGGGGGTGGGCAGAGAAGAGTAGGCACTGGGTGGGGGTGGGAGGCGGGGGCCGCAGACCTCAGAGGGCGGCCTCTTTCTTTCTGGACCCCACATTCCGCTCCCACCCCCTTCCCTGATTCTTGCCCCTTCCCGTGGTCCCTCGGGCAGCCAGGCGGGAGACGGAGGCTTACCTCACACCTGAACGGCTTCTCCCCGGAGTGCTGCAGAGAGTGCACCTTGAGAGACATGCTGCGCTTGAAGGACTTCCCGCAGGTCTCACAGGTGAAGGGCATGTCCTTTGTGTGGGCTGCAAGGCAGGCACCAGGGCCGGCATGTCTTATGGGCCTGCCCAGGCACCGCCACATGGCCCCAACCATGCCTCCTGGGGCAGCCCTGTGCCACCACCGTCCCCTGGAGCCGGCCTTGTCCCCTGTCCCAGGACAGGGCTGACTCCCAGGAGAGGCCCCTGCCTCCATGGCAGGGTCTCCTGTCTGCTCTGAAGGTCAGCCTCAGACATGCAGGGGCCCTGTAGTTCTATAGCCTCTGGCCAGGGGAAGTGGCCAAGGCTGCCTTGCCCCCAAAGCTTCAGGGAAGCATGGACGGTCCCTGAGTGGACCTGGCCTCAGCTCAGATCTCAGCCCGACAACTGGCTTCCCGCTGGGTCTCTGTGGGCCTCAGCTTCCTCCTCTATAAAAAGGGACTCATAGTGGTCCTGAGCTTCAGGGTGGTGGGCTTTATAGGGGACCAGATACAGAGAGGCCCTGGCCCCAGGCCCTCACCAGCAGTCTGGAGGAAGTTGCTGCACTCCCCCCCGCACCTGGACAGGTGAGGACCAACAGACTCTTCAAGGATCTGATAGGAGCCCGCTGGAGACAGAGAGGGCTCCCCTCCAGGCTCACACACACCAGTCCTAGTCTACCCAGCCTGCTCCTGGCTGAGACGTAGGCTGCAGGGTCCCAGCTTCCAGTCAGTCCACGCTGGAGGCCCCCAGCACTGTCTGACGGAGAAAGGGTTAAGGCCTGGTCAGGGACTCACCGTCTGCCTTGGCTACCCCTCCTGCTCAAGGCCCAGATGGGGCAGGCAAGGAAGGAAGGGCTGTAGGGACATGAGAGTCTGTCAGGCCCACATACAGCAGCCTTGCCCTGGGCAGTGGAGTGGCCAGAACATACTTGGGGGACGTCCTTACTGTGTCCAGGCATGAACCCTAGGGGGAGGCTGCATTCAGAGGCCTGAAGCCCTATGAGGACCAGAAGGTAAGAAAGAATCAGAGGTACAGCTGTCATCAAACTGGCACAGGGCCTGTAGCTGCCCTTGCAGCACTCTGTATGATTAGGAGAAGGTATTCCTTTCCCTGAGTGGATGTGAGCCCATGCCAGGGTGCACAGCCTGGTTGGCAGTGTGCCAGCTTGATTCCGGTCCCACCTGCCATCTTGTCCAGGCACCCTTGTGCAGTGTGCAGCCTGCCCCACTGTATGTGGCAGCCCTGGCCCCAGGGCCTCCCCGCTAAAAGGGGTTTCCTCACCCCATCACATTGCCCTTGGATGTGAAGTCTTTCCCACCCAGCAGCCAGAAGCTGGTCCCTCTCTGTCCTCTGGCTCCACCCCCCGGGCCAGACTCACCAACCATGTGCTTGCGCACATGGGCCATGGTGTGGAACTTCTTCTCGCAGATCTCACAGGAGAACTTCTTCTCCGCGTAGCCGTGCACGGTCTTGTTGTGCTCGTGGAGGGACCATAGCTTCTTGAAAGCTTTGCCACACGCCACACACTGCAGAGTAAGAGGGCATGAGGACTGTCCCCTCTGGCTCAGTTTTCCCACTTGAAATGTGCTGGGGGGCCCTTGATGCTCCTAAGGTTGCAGGTGAAAACTCCTGAAACACCCCCAAACGCACAGCCTGGGGTCCTCCTTCACCCTGAGTTAACCAGGGGTCACCTCTTCCAGGAAATTCTCTCCTCTGGACCCATTTCAACAAGGGCTTCCGAAGGCACCACGTTTTGTCTGTCTGTGGAGGTGAGACGGCCAGCTAGCAGAAGGGCCGCCTCTGGTATGGAGCCCACACACAGATGACGGGTCCCACGAGGCGAGCCATTATCCCCGCTGCCTCCTCCTGCTGGGACCTGTGCCATGACACCATGGAGATCCCCAAGAGGATGGGTCCCCAAGGCGTTGGCTGAGGACAGCAGGAGGCTCAAGTCCCATCAGCACAGAGAGTCATGGGGGATGTTGGGGACCACATCCACCCTTGTTCTGGACGCTGGTCCTGCCCACCCATGCATGCTAGGCTAAGGCTTGGGCAGAAACTGGTCAGGATGCCCAGGTTGGATGGCACAGAAGCTTCTTTCTCCTTCAGGAGGGATACTCAGGTGTGCAGCAGGTGGAGCATCAGAGGGCAGCCCAGTAGGCAGGCAAGTGGGCACAGGTACGTAAGGGAAGGGCAGGGTAACACTCTCCTCACAGGGCACTGCAATTAGCAGTTAGCTCAGGCAATTAGCACCCGCCTACCTGCTACCTTTCCCCCTTCTCCTGGGCCAGAAGAGGTGAAAACCACCCGTGCGAGCCTGGCTGGCCCTGTGCCACTGCACCCTGAGAGGCGAGGCTGGCACAAACAGACTCAGGCTGGCTCAAGGCCCGGCAGCCAGCTCAGCTCCCCTGCTTAGCCCCAGCAGCCTCTGCTCTTCCCAGATTTTTCGCCCAGTCCCTTTTCCCCAGGCCCATGAGAGATGGCCTCTCCAAAGAGCTGCAAGCAGGGGCTGCCTCCTGCTCTCTACAGCACTTCTGTGGGAGTTGGAGGATGGCATCCCACTGGGCAAACCCCTCCTCCCATCATGTGCTTGTTTGTTGCAGTGCACAACCTGTGAAACTATACACAGTGGCCCTGCTGGCCTTCCTGCAGCTCTGGTGTTTGTTAAAACCCGTCTGACTCATCCCGTCCAGAGTGGGCTGTCCTCTGGCCTCAGGCATCTCTCCACTGTCACCCTCCCAGGTCACACGTCCCCTCTGTCCCTCTGGCCAAGGTACTGTTTGTTCCCATCCTCTGCACGTCTCTCCACGCACCCACCTCTATTCACCTCTCCAGGAAGCTCAGGTGGAGGTTATCCCCTGAGCGCTAACCACCCTGAGAACTGTGCCTGGGCTGGCCTGTCTGGGAGCAGATCATCTAGGCAATGCAGTCAGCAAGATGCTGGGTGCCTGGAGCCCAGGTCTGGCCTAGCCCCACCTGGACAGCCCCCGCCCCGCCCCGCCCCGCGGCCCACCTGCCCAGCCCTCCCCCGCCCCGCCCCGCGGCCCACCTGCCCAGCCCTCCCCCGCCCCGCCCCGCGGCCCACCTGCCCAGCCCTCCCCCGCCCCGCCCCGCGGCCCACCTGCCCAGCCCTCCCCCGCCCCGCCCCGCGGCCCCCCTGCCCCCCCCTCCCCCGCCCCGCCCCGCGGCCCACCTGCCCAGCCCTCCCCCGCCCCGCCCCGCGGCCCACCTGCCCAGCCCTCCCCCGCCCCGCCCCGCGGCCCACCTGCCCAGCCCTCCCCCGCCCCGCCCCGCCCCGCGGCCCACCTGGATGTTGCGCTCACAGTCCGTCTGCCTGTGCAGCAGCAGCTCACTCTCCAGCAGGAAGCGCTTCCCGCACTGGTCGCAGATCTGCATGCGGCTGTGGGTCACGTTCATGTGTTTCTCCAGGTACCAGCGGTTGTTGAAAACTCGTGGGCACTTCTGGCACGGATGGTGCTGCTTCTCCTCCAGCTTCACCTTGGCCCCCAGCCCATCAGTGCCTGGCGGCCCCCGGGCCGATGCAGAGGCCACTCCGGGAGTGGGCTTCGGCCGCTTCCCACCCCGCTGCCCAGCTTCCTCAGGTTCAGGGGTGCCCCGGCGCCGGGCATTCTCCCGGGACCGCGTGGCCATGTGACTGTGGGGAGGGGGGTCTGCCCGGCTGCCTCGGCTTCCCCGTGACCCCTGTTTGCCCCCAGCCTCCCCCTCATCCCCCTCCTCCTCCTCAGAGCTCTCTTGATCCTGCTCACTGGGTGCTTCCTCCTCCTCCTCCTCCTCCTCCTCCTCCTGCTCACTGTGCCCCTCCTCCTCCTCTTCTTCCTCCTCTCCCTGACTGCCACCCTCCTCCTCCTCCTCCTCCTCCTCCCCTCCACTGCCACCACCTTCCTCTTCCTCCTCTTCCTCCTCCTCCTCCTCCTCGTCCTCCTCCTCGTCCGAGTGTCTCTGCAGCCCGTCCTCCCCGCCCAGCACCATGGTGGCCGGGCTTGGCCCGGCACCTGGCTTCCCTTCTGGCCCCGTGGACACGTGCAGTGTCTGGTTGTTGAGGTTCACCTCCACGATGATCTGGGACTGCTCTCTGCGGCTGTAGGTGCCGGAACCCCCAAGCTCTTCCTCCAGCTCCTCCCCACCTTCCAGCTTGCACAGGCTGGCCGGGGGCCCGCCGGCCTCCTCAACACCACCCTCCTTCTCCTCCTTGAAGAAAGGCTGGGCTGGCCCAATGGTGGCAGGCCCTGTGCCGCCAGCAGCCCCTGCCCCGTCCTCCACACGCACGGAGAAAGGGTCGGGGCCCTCTCGGGCGAAGATCTTGGGCAGGCCTGGGGTGTCGGCCTCCTGCTTGATGTCACAGTAGTAGGGGGGTGCAGCTGAGGTGCAGCTGGCAGCCGGCTGGGCCAGGGCCACAGTGCCGGGGCCTGGCGGGCCTAGAGAGCGGGCATCCAGCAGCTCCTGGCAGGATGCAGCAATGTCAGCCATCTGCAGCAGCGAGGCGGCGCTCAGCACCTCGTGGACGTTGGCTGCGTTGACCAGCAGCTTGGACGTGTAGATGAAGTTGAGGATCTGCTGCAGGCCCCCAGGTGCCAGCGCCTCCAGGGACAGCTCCACACGCTGCAGCTGCTTGTTCTGGGTGAAGAGCGAGTGGAAGAACTGGCTGTAGGCGGCCAGCACGCCCTTGTGTGCCGGGAAGACACTGCGCTGGGGCACCAGCACCAAGTCCACGTCGCAGAGGTCGGGCTGGAAGAGGCGCTGCTCGTTGAGGCGGCCCATCAAGCAGGCAAAGTGCAGCGCCACGTCCTCCACCAGCGAGAACTCAGCCGCCGGGGAGTCGGTCGTCTTCTCAACCAGCAACTGCGGGGACAGAGGGCACAGGAGTGGGTCAAGGCCAGCGGGCCCCTGCCTGCCCTTCCCCCGGTGCCACCCCCAGTGTGGCCCGCCGTCCAGGAGGCAGCCCATTACCCGTGGCTCTGTGCCACAGAGCCGCAGCTCTAGCAAGGAACGGACTCAAGCCCGAGGGAGCTGCCCTCAGATCTCAGACCACCCCACCCGCGACCCTCTGAGGCCGAAGTTCAGCTCCTGCCACTTTTCTGGGCCTCTGGGTCGTCTGTGAAATGGGAAAAGTCATCCCAGAAAGGGAAAGAGAAGGAAAAGGGACAGAAGGGGAACCACAGTGACCCACTGTCCACGTTTGCCAGGGACCCTGGCCTTTTCTGGGGTACAGGGTTTCAGTGCTGGAACCAGGACCATCACAGGCACACCAGGACTAGGGTCACCCCAGGAGGGCCACAGACATTCCTTCAGCTATTCCTGAGCCCTGTGGATTCTCTCCAAGTATCCACTCACACATACCAATACTAGCCCCAAACACTTCAAGAACAGAAGTCACGCTCGTGACTTCACTGCCCGGCCTCTGGCTACAGCACCTGAGGGGACCCCTCACTGCAAGAGCCCTGCGGCTGCTACAGAAATTGAAGAAATCCAGTCCCAGGACCAGTATCTTCTCCCTGCTCTCCCCTGCTGCACCGCCTGGTGAGGCCTGGCCAGACCCTCATCACAGCCAGGGCTTGGGCCAGGCTGCCCCCAACTCCTGCCTTCAGCCTCAGGCCTAGCTCCCAGCAGCTTTCTCATCCAGGGGCTCTGCAGGGGTGGAAGGCCACAGCTGTGGAACCTGCCTACCATGCCTCCAGGCAGGAGGCCTCCAAGGCCACCCCAGACCCTTGCCCTGTAGGCCCTCAGACCCCGGTCAGGTTCGGTCCCTGTCACAGGCTCTGGGAAAGCCCTGCCTTGGAGGCCACACCATCGGGGGCCTCCAGAGCCCTAGAGGAGGCCCTCAAAGTTTGATGGGTCAGACTCAGCCCTGTAGGCCACACCCAGCACCTGTGGATTGCCTGGAATAGAGACTGACTCAGCCACCACCGGCTCTACCGCGGCAGCCTCCCCAACACAGACAGGCAGCCACCCAGTCCCTGCACGAGGCCGGCACACAGCCATGCGCAGATGTTAGTTAACATCCGCCAACCACCTGCCCGGCTGGACCACCCCCCTGGTTATGCCCAGCTAGGTCAGAGTCTCCTGCATTTGGGACATACCTGGCCACAATATTTTGATGGCCACAAGGCCATCAGCTCCATCGCTGCCAGCGCCTCCCTGGGGGCCCTGGGATAAATCCTGGCCCCATCCATGCACAGCCTACCCCCACCCCCATGCCAGACCTCCATCTCCAGGACAGCAGTGGGCTGGGTGGGAACAGGTAGGGGTCATGGTGGTTGAGCTCCCCTCCTCAGTCACCTGAAGGAGGACCTACCGTGGGCCTCAGAATGAGCCTCCCTGAGCCACCAGGGGCCACCTGTCTCCAGGCCTGCCCTGGACCCTGCCTCTACACTCAGCAGGGCAGAATGTGCTCTCTCACAGCTTCCTTGAGTTCTCCACCATGCCCCTTACCCCAGCCAAGAAGCCATGCATCTGCCCCTCTCTGTCCCAAGCTGGCCAGGCCTGGCCAGTCTAACTGGGACATGGCACCAAGCCCCTCCCATCTCCCTCTGACTCATTCTGATTCATCTTCTGGGACCAACCCTTACTACACAGATGGAGAAACCGAGGCTCAGAATGAAAGAGTTCCACAGTCCAGAGCCCCTGGACTCCCAGCTCTGCTAAGGCCAGCCTTTCCTTGCTAGACAGGACGCCACTCCACGTGGCTGGATTTCTGAGCCTTAACGACTTAAAAGGCGATAACAGCCCTGCACCTGGAGGCCAGCTGTGCTTCCCCAGACCCACCACTCCCTCTACCTGCTTCCTCTCAGAGCCACTGCACCTGCAGGTCCGTGAAGAGTCAGGGTGCAACCTGGGCTACAGCACAGGCTCGTTAGGGCCTCCAGGGGCCAAAGGTGGAGGAGCAGAGGCTTGGACTAGGGCTTGCCAAAGCCAGGCCTGTTGGGGGGGTCCACCCCAGGCAACAGAGCCCCAGATCTCTCTGCTTTCCCTTTATGGAACCCCTTCCACTGCCCACCTATGCCCACCTGCCACAGAGAAAGGGCAACCTTCCCATGTATACTTTGGCCTTTAGGCCAAATGAGGCCTGACTTCGGTCCTCTGGCCTCTCAGCAGGAAAGGCCGGGAGCGCTGCCCAAACACTCCATTGCTAAGGCAGCACCCCAGCCAGGCTAGCGCCATCCGCAGTCCTCGGGTGCCTAAACCTCACTACCTGATTGGTCTCCCTTGACTGGGCACAGAGATGCTGCCGGAGTCCACCACTGGCAGCCCCTCAGCAGGGTGTGGCCCCCCCACACAGTGCCCACCAGCCATGCTGGCCCGCACAGCCAGAGAGGCTGATTCTCCGAAGCAATGGGTGCCCCTCCCCAGCCGGCTGTGCCAGGTGCAGTCCAGGCCCCTCCAGCCTAGCTAAGATCGGGACCTGGGAGGCGGTCAGGCACTCTGGTTGCCAGGGGGTTTCATTTCCTTTCCTCAAACCCTCGCCCCAAGTCAGGCTGGGGATTCGCCAGGTGCCAGGGACATCTCTCCAGGCTGCTCACCCAAGTCACAGACTTCTGCACCTGAGGGGCACTTCACCTCACTGGCGCAAAGTCTCATCTCCCTACCCTGCCTCAGAGCGTTCCTGGACGCTCTGGGGAGTCCACCTGTGCCGCCTCCCATGTCAGTCCTTTCTTCGCTGGACAGCAGTGGGTGGGCCCAGACTGAGCAAGGGGGCAGAGGCTCATGACCTGGAGGCTCCTCCTTTTGGGGAGGGAATGCCTATACCAGCCTCCTCTGTGCTCACACCTCCCCTTTCCCAGACCCAGAGAGGGCGGGGGACCTGCCCAAGGTCACACAGGAGTTGGCACGGGGGCCGCAGGTGTCCTCCGACACCCCCTCGGCCAGGTTCACCCCGAATCCCCGGGCAGGGCGGCTCCAGCGCCCACGTGGCCCAAGGCCCAGGCGGGAATCCGACTCCCTCTTCCCCCCAGGACGCAGCCCGAGGGCGGCGCCGTCCCGGCGCAGGGGAGCGCCCCGCTTCGCCGGTGCCCGGGGAGACCTCGGCCTCGCGCCGGCGCCCCCGCCCCAGGAATTCAACCCCTCCCCACCGAGAGCGCGCGGCGGCAGCGCCGCATTCCCGGCCCGCGGGACCCGGCGACTGAGTCGGGAGAGCCGGGGTGGGGGAAGGTCCTTCCGGCGCCTCCCCCGAGCCGCGGGCCGTGCGCCCCGGAGGCCGGAGCCCGCAGGTGGGCGGATAAGCGGGGGGACAGGCAGGGCCCTGCGTACCATGGTGCCGCGGCGCGGGGGGCTCAGAGGGCCCCGCGGGATCGCGCTGCCCCCGGCGGCCGGGCCGGGGCCGCTCCATGAAGCGCCGCGCTGGGGGCCGCCCCCGCGCAGGGCCCCGCGACCATGGCCCCCGGGGGCGCGGCCGGGCGGGCGGAGGCGCAGGGCCGCGGCGAGTCCAGCGCGAGCAGCTGCGGCCCCAGAGCCTCGGGCGCGGCGGGCGGGGGGCGCGGGGCGCCGATTGGAGCCCGCGCGTCAGCTGGGGCCGCCGTCTGGACGCTTAAAGGGCCAGGCCGCGCTGCGTGCCGGCTGGGGGCGCGGACACGCGTGGTGAGCGCCGCCCCCGCCCCCGCCCGGCCCCGCGCTCACACCCGAGCGCGCTGAGCCTCCTGCCGGGACGTTCGTCCATCCGGGACTCAGACGTCGGTCCCTCCGGCTGCGCGGAGCGGGAGCCCGGGTTGGAGGCTGCAGTGAAATCGGGAAGCGGAGCGCGCCGGGCCCGGACCCCACCGGGACAGGCGTCCACCCGCGCTTGGGGGACTGCACCCTGGCCGCGCCCACCGCCCCACCTCTCGCCTGGGCTGCCCTGACGTGGGGGTGAGTGTGGAGTCCCCACCCCTGTCCCAGGGCGGCGCGGGGCTCGGGTTCTCCGCGCCTCCGGGGGCCGTACTTGCCTGGCGGCCTCACGCTGCATCGGGCCACCCAGGCCGGGAGAGCGAGACCCAGGACTCCAGCTGCAGCGATCAGATCCTCTCAGGTGACTGGCCCGGGACCAGAGGCCCAGGCCCCACTGCGCCCCTCTAGTCGCGTGGCCTGACCACTGCTGAGTGGCCCCCTGCTCGGCCTCTGCCGGGGAGATGCAGCCAGGCTTGCGGAATGCTGCTCTGGCACGGACACCCGTGGGGGCAGGGGGCTGGCTCTGCTGGCAGGAGGCTGTGAAGGAACGCCGCCAGGCTGAGCAGGCAGCAGGGTGGGGACCGCGGAGCACTGGGCCTGGCGAGGTCTGGGCGGTGGCTGGGCCACCATTGCAGAGGAGGGGCCTCTGTGGGCATCCCAAAACTGACTGCTGCCCATCCTGGGTCACTCTCACGTCGCCCCCATGCTGATATCCCACGTCCCTCCCACACGTGCTCTTGTGTTTACATGCAGGTCCACGTCCAGCTGCAGCACAGTCCCCTGGGTGTGCTGCCCTACTCATGAGTGGGTGACTTGGTTCTAGATGCCAGAGGAGGAAATGGAGGCGACACCAGGGTCTTAGGCAGGCGCCATGAAGTAACCTGATGGTCTGGCCCATCAGATTGCAAGGGCTTCCTCCCCCACCCCCACTCTCCGCCAGAATACAGAGGGCCTCGGGACAAGGCTGTCCCAGAGCCAGGGAGAAGATATCTCAGGGGCCAAACCTGAGGCCTCTGGACGCCCTTCGCAGCTGCTGCATACATCCTGCACCTGCATGGGTGCACAGACACCTGGCTCAGTTCCCAGATACCTCGGGCTAAGCCCAGGCCTGAGCAACTGACGCCAGTCCCCTGAGGGTACCTTCTGCCTCTTCCTCCCAGTCCGCTTCCTTATCTGACTCACAGTGGATCCTAGCACTGGCCCAGGAGGCAGCAAGGGAGGGGCTGCATGCGCACTGGTTGGATAAGGACTCCGTGGCTCAGGTAGGCATCAGCATCAGGAGCAGGGGAAAGGGAGGTGGGGAGAGGGGACCCCTTTACGGGCTGGAAGGAGCCTGGCAGAGAGAGCTGCATAGACACGCCAAAGCTTGACAGCGGGTGTGGCCAGCGCGACTGAGGCAGCGATGCCGGTCCTGTGGTGTGCTGTTGGGGCCATGGCTGCAGCAGTGAATCTGCAGGAGGGCCTGGAGGTTGGGTGAGAAGGGAGGGGACGGGTGGTGGGGAGTCACTCAGTCTCCCTGAAGGCCTTGGCTGCGGCTCATTGGCTGGGGAGTCCCAGCACAGAGCCTGAGCTCTGTGAGCAGCTGTGGGCACCTGGTCACACTGGACGTGGCAGGAAGGAGTGTTTGAAGAGCTGTCTGGTGGACCCAGAGGCCTGCTCAGAGCTGAGGCTTGAACTTGAACATTAACTAGAGCAATGAGGGAGTGGAAGTCTTTCCAGGCAATGACAGCCCCTGCCAAGGCCAGGAGGTGGAGACGGTTTAGCACCTGCAGGAACCGGAGGGGATTTGGTGAGTGGAGTCGAAATTCCTGTGGGACTGGGGCATCTGTTCGGTGGCAGTGAACAGAGGCTGAATTTCTCTCTTGGTCCTGATGAGGAGCATGCAACAGGAGCCTCACTTCAGGGGAGGTCAAGGCATGCTTGCTGGAGGGAGGGACGGACTTACTGGGTAGACGACCTGTAGGGCAGAGCTGCGTGCCCCAGAGGCGAGTCAGAAGTGTGGAGACGGCTCACCCAGCAAGGGCAGAGTTTAGTGATCCTTCACAGATTTGGGATTAGGTCTCAGCAAGGTCAGCAAAGCCATGCCCCTGCTTCTAGAGGACAGCTCATGGGCTTTCTCTCAATTTCCCTGAGTGTCTATCCTCCATGCCTCCTGTCCCCAGGCTTGGCTGGGGAAACCAGATTCAACCCGACTGAAGCTGGAAGGAGCAGCCCAGGCTGTGGGTGAGCATGTGTGTGGGGAAGCAAGGCAGGCTTGAGTCTGCCCAGAGGGCATAGAGCTGTGTGTAGTTGAGCCTGGGGAAGAGGGAGAGCAGAGTGGGCAATGCCAGTCAACATAGACCATGCAACTCAACTCGCACAGCACGGGGTCGGTGGGGTGGCAGGGAAGTGCAAAGCTACCCACTAGGTGCTGACCCAAGGCCCTGCAGGGCAGGGAAACATGAATCCGCTGGGGTGGGGTGGGGTGGGGTAAATGTGGAGGTTGCACCTGAATTCTGCCTCCACTGAGCCCAGCATGAATAGGTTACAGCTGCCCTGGGTTGGGGGCCTCATGCAGACTGGCAGGTTGCCTGGTTCCCTCTCAGCATCAACATCATGGCTTTGCCGTTTCAGGTCTCTCAAAGCTTCTAGGATCCTCCCCTGCCCTGTTGGTTCTGGGACCTCGGGCCTCTCACTAGTGACTGAGCCTGGCCCTACACTTGAACCCTGTGGACTCCTCCACTTCACCTAGAGGCACCACCTCAGGGGCCACCACCTCGGAGCCACTGGTACATGATTTGTTTTCTAAACAGTTAATACACCACAGTTCTAGGAGGGAGGAATCCCTAGCACCGATTTTTCAGATAAGCCGAATTTTAGAGATCAAGCAAAGTATCCTCTTTCCGGCTACCCAACTGGGAAATGGCAGAGGAGAACTCGAACCCAGGCAGTCTGGTTCTGGCCTGGAGTCCTTAAGGACTGTACCGTAGAATTGCTGCTCTGAGAAGTCCTCCTGTTTCTTCAAAATGAAATCAAATTAGGCTGGAGGCATTGAGGTCAGTGGAGACTCTTAAGGCTTTCTCTGGGAACCTGGACTGAGAGATTTTAGTTGCTAGAGGTCCTAGGTGACCAGGGGCTGGTGCAGTGCCAGCCTAGTCACCCAACCCGTGGGCCAGGTCCACTGGGAGGCAGACTTGTCTGCAGGCTGGGAAGGGGTGAGCACCCTTGCTGGGTGTCACGTCTGGGCGCGCCACTACCCTTTCAGGGTTTAGGAGCCACAGGAGGCCCAGGAGCAGGGCTCCAGACGCAGAATGTAGGTGTTTATCCTGAGACCTCAGGTCACTGTGTTTGTTCTTTGGGTCTTGCTCTGTTGCCCAAGCTGGGCAGTAGCAGTCATGGCTCACTGCCATCTCCACCTCCTGGGCTCGTGACCCTCCCACCTCGGCCCTCTGCGTAGCTGGGACTATAGCTATGCTCCACCATGCCCGGCTACTTTTTTGTTCTGTTTTGCTCTGTTGTCCAGACTGGTCTTCAACTCTTGGCCTCAAATAATCCTGCCTTGGCCTCCCAAAGCACTAGAAATACAGGTGGCCACTCCTTCTTTTACCCTGATGTAGTCATGGCTCTTGGCTGAAGAGACGCAACCGTCTCCAGGCTAGCCTGGTTCTGCAGGCTGTGAGGCTCAGCTGTCTAGGGAGATGGGCTATAGTTCGTAGGTGGTAGGTCTGGGGTCTCCCAAGAGGCAGCAGGCCCACCTGGGGTCTTCTGATTCACAGCGAGGAGGGAGTCAGCAGCAAGGCAGCACTCCCTCTACCTTGTCCTGAAACTTTTTGAGGACAAGACCACTCAAGCCTCCTACCCCTGTGTGTATGTGGCCAGGGCAGGCTCTCCTTGCCTTGCACTTACCCGGCACTGACAAGCTTCCCAGTCTGTCCTGAGGTGAACAGGTGTTCTTTCAGAGTACCCAACTCCTCCTCTGACCCCTCTGGACTCCTGAGAGGCTTTTACAGCATCTAAGAACTTCCCGCTCTCTTCCCAGTCCGTTCCACCATGGGCCTGCAGGCTCTCACCTCACTGTGGGCAGCAGCAATTCTGTTCCCAAAACCAGTCCCTTCCACCTGGTGAGGCGTGGCTGCACATCCTCTTACCTGACCACACTAGTTTGCAATACTCCAAGGCTCAGCATTTGCCTTGAGAAAGTGACCAGAGCCCCTCTTTTTAAGTAGTGATGGGACTTCACCAAGTTGGACAGGCTGGTCTCAAACTCCTGACCTGAAGTGATCCACTTGCCTCGGCCTCCCAAAGTGCTGAGATTACAGGCGTGAGCCACCATGCCCGGCCACCTCGTGTCTCTTCTAAACAATGATATCCAGTTAGTGTCCACAGTCTCTTGCAAGAGAGGCATTTTCCTTGAATTCTCTTCCCACCTATTTAATAACCAGCTAATGCAGAAAAGTCACATTTCCCCCCAATACTGCCCAGCTGATCAAGCTTACCACTAACAGAACATGATCCTGCAGTTTCTTTACATTTTAAAAGAATGCATCCAGATTTGACAAATTTCAGGAGTTGCCCAAATAAGGAGTCCACTGTTAACTCAGTTTAAAAACTGTATCTGCAAGTGAAAGTTTACCTACAATGAAAAGCTATGTTGTATTCACTAAGAAAATTCACATTCCTTTCAGTTCGGAGACAAAAGTTAATTGTACTTCCCCTGCAAATTCTTATGTGTATGCTAAAAATATCCCCAGGAGTGTTTTCTCTGGGAGGCGTGGTATGTGCTGTCTGCCTGCCGTGAGGGAGGGAAGGGTAGAGGCTGCAGGTGGCAACTCACAGACGGGATGGGACATATCCCTCCCGAGCAGACATCTTTATGCAGGTCACTTCAGCTGGATGACAACAGTGTAGAGGAAATCCGGAGTTTCCAGGGGAGGAAGACCAACACCATTACTGCTGACTTGTGTAGGCCAGCACCGCTGCCTGGTGTTCTCTCTCTAGCTCCACCTCCTACACCCACCCCTAACACTCAGCTGCCCAGGGAGATGAGGTGTCTTCACTGGCGGGGCCGGCAAAGAGATGAAACAGGCACAGACCTGGACTTAGACTAAGTATATACTTTAATTTCTACAAGGTCCCCTTTCAAGTTTTAGGGAAATTAAACTGAATCGTATACAAATTAGACATTGCTAATATGTACAAAAGTATTTCATAGAGTTTTTGAGCAATACTAGCAATGAACAGGATGGTACAAAAACAGTCCAATAATGCATTTCCTATTAAGAAGCACAATACACAACATAATTCAATTTTATTAAAAAATAACTTCAAAATATACAATAATCCCCTTTAGGAAGAAAAGCTATTTTTGTAGTTCATTCTGTCAGTAAACATACAAGTTGAACGCGGCAGCAGAGGGCTGTCCTTTCCCATGGAGAAAAGAAATGAGGCTTCTAGGGACTATCTTTTCTGGATAAAATTCCACCCACCGCTGAGACGGGCAGTTACTGCCTATGGCAGGCAGAATTCAAAAATGCCCCTCCCCCTTTCAGTGAGCTACTGTCCGGAGCCCGTGAACATGATGAGACAGCACTCCTGCAATGATGTGCTGTGCACAATCAACCTTAAAACATATCTGTGGGCTTGAGTTAATCACATGCCCCTAAAACAGAGGACGGGACAGAGACATGAAGCATGAGCAAGAGTGGGACACGAAGGCCGGCTGGAAGCTGGAGGGACCACACGAGGAGGAATGCAGGCAGCCCTGAGGAGGTGAGAGGGACACCCAGCTGAGCCCGCTAGGAACTGGATTCTGCCAACAGCCTAAATGGGCCCGGAAGCAGACTCTTCCCCGGAGCCTCCATGAAGGAACGCTGTCCTGCCAACCCTCGATTTCAGCCCCGTGAGACCCTGAGCGGAGAATATAGTCACACTACGCCAGAACCACAAGCTACAGAACTGCTAAATGGGTGGTGCTTTAAACCGCTAAATTTGGGGTGATGTGTCACACAGCAACAGACAAAGGTAACTTTTCTTAACCTAATGAGATCTGGCAGTTTCTGCTTGGGCTCTGAATGCATTTCTTCCTGCTGAGTAGTAGTAATATTGTCCTTTGCAGGCAACCTTTAATATAAATCACACTCTTTTGTATTCAGAATCTAGTATTGTTTGTTTGGCCTAAGTCCTGTTTCTTATGTACTTGTCTACTGACCTGGCAAACAACTGACCACCTTACCCTGTTTTCATACCTTCTTTGGGTGATAATTTTAATACATCCAAGGGCACCCTTCCTCCACCAACGGTTGTCAGCTCCCTCCAACTGAGGGCTCTTTCCCACTTCCCAAATACACCAGACAAGGCCTGTGGTAGGGTGGTGCCAATTTCTACATCAGGTATCCAATATTAATTTCTTCTGCATAACTGGATTAAACTGGCACTAAGGTGATTAAGTACACTTGGGGAACAAATTCAAAGTAAAGTTTAAAAAAAAAAACCACAGACTAGTTTTTACAGGTCAAATTATTTGTGGAGGAACCACCCAAAGCCATGAAAACATGTGATTTATGCCACCCCGTCTATCCCCCTTGCCCTGTCTCTTGCACCTGGGTCGGGTTAAACAAGGCTTCATCGAGTCAGCTGCAGGTCACAGCAACAGGAAGAACGTGCCGGTTGCGACAGGTCAGCTGCCGCTGTAATATCCTGGACGTGAAGGACGTGAAAGCCCTGCAAAAGGTCTCCAGGATGCTGGCGGGCAGATTTTGGTGTTCCTTTTGAGTCCATTCTTCACTCTTCCAGAGGCACACACACGCAGCAGACCTGAGCGGCCAACATCTCCTGCTGCCAATCCTGTCTGCTCTAGGTACCCCAACCCACACCTGTACTTGAGAGAAGCCCCCCAAATAAAGTGAAGACAGCTCAGAATAAACCATTTTTGGTGCCAGTGATTTTTTTGAATTTCATTTTTCTCTTTTATGCTGTTTTAATATAAGAGTGATGCTTAAAGAGGCACCAAAAGTTACCAAGCACCAAAACATGAAGTGGAATAGAATTGTCTTTATAACCTAGACTTCTGATCGGTATTGATTAAAAAGAACGTAAAATAGTAAATCCTTAGAGACAGTGTAGGTATTTATAGTTAAGGCTGATTGATTCTTCTTAACCTTGCCCACAAGCCTGAAGTAATACAGGCTGTGTGGGATGTATGATGGCCACTTTCCTCATCCTGCGAAATATCAAAGAAGTTAGGAATGAATTAAGAACCCCAGAGCCACTGCCTTATACTCCTGGCTACTCACAGTATCAGTTCTGGGTGGTTTGTTTTTAGAGCACATATGTACAAGACTTGATGTAATCAGTATATAAATATTTGGCCGCCTTTAACAGTTCTCCTTCACAGTTCTATGCTTGGCAGCATATATGCTAAAACCGGAAAAACAGGCAAAACGGATCTGTATTCTAAGGAATACGTGAGATAGAGAAATAGTCTTAAAATAATATTGTAAATTATACTTAGATAAATTTCACGATTTCTTGATTCAAGAAAATGAAGTTCATTTCCATAGTTGGCTACTGTAAAATGTGGCATAAAAATATTTTTAGGAGACCTATCTGTATTTTAAATTCTTCTGCGCACATGTAAATGAAGGAGTAACAATTAAGAAGTGTCTATCTTTCAAATTCATCTCTGATATTGAAATAGAACAACAGACTGTTATTAAGTTTCTTAAGCTTTTAAGTTGCCAGATATTTACAAATAAGATATAATTTGTATCCAAAAAAAGGACCTTTCAACTATATCTGCTGCTTTCACTGGGGCTCCGGTGATGAGAGTAACTTCGGTCACTTTCACTGTCAGAGCCGTATGATCTACAACTCCTGTAATAACAAAACAAAATGTACAAAAACCTCGTAACTATAAAACCTGTGAATTCCTCTTACATTTTTTTTTAAATGGGTGGCTTGAAAGCACTATTGATGTTTTCAAGCCGCTCAGACTGACGTGGATCGGTAGGTACTGACTACGGCAACACGGTGGACTTTTCAAAGATGTTTTAAATGACAAGTTGTAGTAATACCAAGATAAAATAAACAAACACCACATCTTAGGAAATTTGTGTGAAATTCATTCATGCAAATGCTGGGACCACCAAAAAGAAAAGAAACCAATGAGCACAATAGTTTCCCATGTTACCTAAAATGAGTATTGATATTTGAATAGATTACCTGAGAAAGTAATGGGGAAAAGGTGCACAAATAGTTTCATTAAAGAAATGGAAACCTAACCAAAGAGGGGTGCGAGTGGCTCTAGGCATGAACACATTCAGTTATTTTGAAAAACATTCACTGAGAGCCAGGCATTTTGCAAGATGCTGGGAACACACACACACACACACACACACACACACACGAACGAACGAAACCAAGTATAGTTCTCTGGGGTTCAATGACAGAATAGAATATTGGGCAAGACAAATAATTTAGGGACAAGGAGAGCCGCAGGAGGAACAAGGGCTGTCTTAGAGGCACACGGGAGGGAGCATACCCCAGGACTAGGCATCAGGGAAGGCTGTCCAGGGACAGTGGAGGCCTGCAGGGGAGATGGGAACCGGCCATTTCAAGAGGCAAAAGGGGAGATGGCGAAGAGGGTATGTGTGTCTCCAGGAAGAAGGAAAGGTCCTGGCACTTTTAAGGAGAGAAGCCAGAAAGAATCTGAGCTGCGGTTGATGCTGAGGAGGCTGGACCTGGTAAGCAAGGAAGCGTCCAGATCATACTGATATTTACAAGGATCACTGCAGTTACAATGGATAGGAGAAGGCAAGATCAGAGGCCACCAGAAAGGGACAGTACAAAACTAACAATAAGACCTTCCTAGAAGCCAAAGTACGTTAAACATAGTACATAATACATAAAAAATGTATTTTACTCAATAATTGGCAAGATATAAACCTCAATCCTGATGCTGAAGCAAATGACATTATGTTGTTTTTTAAATTAAAAAACAAAGAGAAACTGGCTACTGCTAGCAAGTAGTTCTATTTAAGCAAGTGGCCATGGTGTGGGTGACCTTCTTTCCAAAAGAAAGGTTTGTCCAAGATATGTGGATACATAAAAACTCTTCTTAGACTCAAACACTAACAATAACCAACAAATATTACCTGGCAACTCCTAATATAAAAGCCACTTGCAGTGGCTGCGTGCAGGTTCTTCAGATTTAAGAGGAAGTATTTCTGTCCTTGGAAGGTCACAGCCCTTACTCTTCCACTAGCAACCCACCTCCCACATCAGGTGCCCACAGTGGCCTGCAGTGTGCTCAAGGAGAGAGACCCACCTGGACCGCCGATTGTAGCTTCTGCCTCGGTGGTAGCTGTCGCTTCTCGGGCTTCTGCTCCGACTCCGGCTCCTGCTGTAGTAGCTGTCGTAGGTGTAGGACCTGCTTTGACGGCAATGACACACACTAAATGTTCCCACTCAAATACTCACATGTTCCTGTTTCTTTTTAGGATCTTAGGAGTGTCCTAGCTTAGAACATGGGCACCAGGTGACAGCATAAGAACACAGTTCCGAAACATTTAACAATCGCCCCAAATGAGACTTACCATAATTAAAGAGAAAAATATTAATTTCTTTTCTGTATTGAAAAATATCACAACATTAACGAGTTAGTTTGAATCTGGTGGCTCTTTATAGGCAACTATATACAATAAACACCTGCCATTACAGCTGGACATTGTCATTTCTGACACTGGAGTACAATGGGTCAACACATAAAACTTGTCAAAAAGACCTCATTTAGAAAAGGTACGGTTTCAGGAGACAAATATATGCATTTAGTTATTCAATAAAATACCGCTTTGAACTAAGAGTTTATCAAACAAAACCTTTCAGTTCTGCCCCACTGGTGGTTTCCCAATCTCTGTTCATACCTGGACCGACTGTGGGGATCATATGAGCTGCTCCTGGATCTGCTCCTGCTGGACGTCCTAATATTAATCACATGAAGGACCATCGTCTTATAAATCAGGGCAGGACAAGCTATACCAAACATTTATTATATCTAGACATTTATTTGCCCATCAAGGTGAAAATACAGTGAAATCCCACAGCTGTATTTGTTTTTTTTTTTTTTTTTTTCACATCAAAAGCATACTGGATTTTTTAAAAAGCCAATTGGATTTCATAAGATGCAGTTTTATGCAGTTTTTCTCTGAGATGCATATCAAGTCACTAGGTAGGGGGAGAGGTCTGCACAGGTAGGACTTTTGTAAGTAAAGTGACGCAGCAGCAGTAGAAAATACCTCAGAGGCAAAAGAGGGAAAGAAGCTAGCACTAGAAATCTGGGGCCACCCTTCCCCCAGTACATGCACTTCTTCCTCTTGGTGCCCGCTCTACAATCTTCCTATCCCAATTTCTAACCATGTCAAGAGGTGAATGCAGATGTAAACTTAGGTTAGGGAAGATCTATGTGGGGAGGCAGAGGCAGGAATCAGGGCTTCCTAAATACTTCTACTGCTTCTCTTGCCTCACTCTGCTAAGATTCCAACAGAGGAATAGTCAAGAATTCCACAGCTCTTTCACAGGAAGAAAACAGGCCAGTATTATATTCAGTAATGACGTGATTCTTCTCAACAACTACCCGCCTCTGCCTATGTAGCCTTAAAAAGTGGACACGATGGACACCACACTGCAGGGTGAGATCACAAGCTCACCTGTGACTTTTGTAACTCCGGTAGGAACTGCTCCGGCTTCTGGTTCGGCCTCTGCTATACCATCCTCTGCTCCGACTTCTAGAGTAGCTTCTTGATCTACAATCGAAGCAATTGAAAAAATATGTAATTATGTTAATTCACCATGGTATTAAAATTACTAGTAGGGCAGGAAGGGGAAAACACAACAAGAAGAAAGGCCTCTCACAAACTCGTCACAGTGGACATGACAGTGACAGCTAATGAGGCAATCTCAAAACAACAATGGTTAAAACCAAACAGAATAAAATAAAGAAAAACAAGAAAAGGTTGGCACAAGTATGTTCATAGGAGCCTGATTTATAACACCAGTAACACTGAAAAGAAAGTAAGCCAAATCTCCATCAATGGTAGAATGGGTGAAAACAATTCAGGTAGAGACATATAATGAAATATTCTGAAGTAAGAAAATGAATGAACTACAGCTACATGTAATCAGCAAGGATATATCTCTAGAATACAAGGTTGAATGAAGAAGGCAAATGTAGAACATCTACATATATAAAAGGATTTTATTTATAAAAGGTGCAAACATAACATTGTATAAAGATAGAAACATCTGGGGTAAAACTATAAAGAAGACAATATTATAACCAAAGTTTAGAATAACGGTTAACTCTGGGACAGGAGCACAGCTAGGATGGCTCTGGTGCGTCAAAGCTCTGTTCTTTAAGCTGGATGGCAGGTACATGAGTATGTATCATATGACTTTTTATCCTTCAATCATTTTTTTATTCTTTACGTCTCTTTAATACTCAGTAAAACAAGCAGAAACGTAAGCAGTACAATTCTGCCCCTCTGCATTCACTTGGCTCCCCACCCTTCTCCCCTCCTTTAAGCCTGTCATTCAAGAACAGAACAATACCTCTATGCATAGGTGACATTATGTAATATCACCACAGGTTTTATTCAGTATGCAGTTATGTTTTGGAAGACATGACCTGCTTCCAGTTTATCTGCAAGAAAATGAATACATTATGTTCTAATAAGATTGTAGTCATTTATTCAACCAAAAATTATAAAGCCACACCCTGTGAGGTGACTGAATGAATAAGACGCAGTTCCTGATCTCACGGAGCTCATATCCTAGTGGGGAAGTCAGGCCAGGCAGGTATCCAGAACAGGGAGGCAGGGCAGCACCCAGGCTTATCCATCTCAGTCCACTACCTGTTAGCTGCATAGCCTAGAACAAGTCCCTTAGCCTTTCTATCTATGCCTTGCTGTCTTCATTGCAAAATGAAACACTGCCAAGTCCAAGGCAGAGATGAGAAGGTAAATGAGGAGAGTGGCCAGCATCACCGACAGCTCAGGGCTGTCTCTGTGTAAATGGTAAGGCAGACCATAAGCAGACAGGAAGCGGGCGTCGCTCAACAGGCAACTGCATCTAGCAACAGGAGCTAAGAGAGAAAAGTCCACGAGGAGGAAGAGAAGCCTCCGCCAGCAGGATGAACCGGCCGAGTGGGAGAAGGAGCCTGCAGAGGGCTCCAGAAATGAGGCTGAACACGCCATGGCACTGGCCATCATAATGCCTGAAAGCTTCATCAGTAAACTAAGGCAGCAAGTGCACAACTAAGGGCAAAAGAGAGTGAGCACAGACAGCCCGTGACGGCTCCTTGTTTAGGAAGAAGTCTGGGTAGCAAGCGAAGAAAGACTGATGAATAACCAGAAAGGAAAACAGCGTTACAGATTCGTATGCTACTTTCAGTTCACATGATGAATATCAAGCACAATATAACAAGGGATATGAGTAAAACCACAACATGTTTACGAGGAAAAGAAAACAATGCAACACAACTGCTTATTAACTTATTACCATCACAGTATTTTTTCCATTTTTAATTCTCATCTGTGTTATCCATTCTATGCTGACAACAAAAGTTATGATGTAACTTATAACGACAAAAACCTTTTCATGAAAGTGCAGAGTGACAAAGATGAGATAAAGATGTTTTAAATTCTTTTGTTGCCTTTCAAACAACAGCAAAAAATCTAAAGATGATCATTTTTATCATTTTTACCCCTACTCCCCCACCCCCGCATCTAAACTAAGATGTATGCATGTCTTCGGCAGGTAACCGCCTCTCTGGCCCTCACCTTCCACATGTCTAAACTGAAAGGTTAGAGTAATGATCTGCAAATTCTATATATTCTGCCAATTTAGGATTCCATTCTAAGGCACTGTTCACTGGCAAGAGAGCAGTCTCACACCTTTAAAGATGGAGAACTTACAACCTATCATGGGAACTCATTTCTACTGACAGGGAGCTTTAAATTGACAGTAATAGAGTTTTGTAAACCGAGCCCAAATTTCTCCTCCTGAATTCCCTCTCCCTATGTCCTCAATTCTGAATCACACAAGACTTCTTTTCCTTTCAAGATCTTTGGAAATAGTGTTTCTGTCCCTAATTCTGATATTCTTCCAAGCTAAACAACAAAAGACCCTCTTTGGGAGAAAAAAAAGAGAATACTGCTCACCGATAAGAAGACGTGGAACTTCTCGACCGACTTCTTGAATGACTGTAGGAGACAGACCTTGCTCTGTGTCTCGATTTGGTTTCAGACTTGCTTCGAGATCTACTCGGACTCCTGGACTGGCTGTCACCATCCCGACTGGGCGTCTGCTCATCACTTGAACTCTCCTGATTTCTTGGTCTACGGTTTAAGCGCGCTGTCTTTCTTACTTCATCAAAGAGAGACCCAGGCCGAACTTTATTTTTGCTTTTAATTTCTATTCTCAAGCCTTGTGGTTTCACTTCGGCCACAGTGGTCAACGCCTTAACTCCCACAGCACTGGATGTGGCAGCAGTGGGTGCTGCCAGGTTCCCCACACCTTGCAGGGGCTTCCATTTCTTATCAATGAGGTTGACCTGGCTCTTCTCAGCCACCTCCTTCTTCCCGGAACTTTCTCCAGCACTAGCCAAGCTAGGAGAGCCACTGTCCTGTTTCCCCACTTCACCCAGCACTTTACTTTCAGACACGCTGCTTTCCTGTTTTACTACCACTGCTTCAGAATGTTCTGCTGCCATATCCTGCTTCAGAACGACGTTTATATCTGGGGTATCAAGGCGTGCGTTTCCCAGAGGGGAAGCCTCCTCTACCTTTGCGGGGGAACTCCTATCAGGAGTACAGATCTCCATGTTGTCATCTGTTTGAAGCACATCTTCTACTCCATTGGGAACACGTTCTTCAACATGCTGAATGCTTTGCGAACAGGCCACATTTTCCTCAGTATTTAAAGCTGTGGGAGAAATGCTGAGTTTATTATCATCTTTAGTAAACTGATCAGGATCTGATGAAAGAGTCGCTGTATTATGTTTACCTGAAAGGCTGCCCTCTTCACATGATTTCTCTGTTTCTGGAATATTATCTTTTACGGTTTCACTGTTTTCAGAAACCTTTTTCTCTTTTGACTCCTGAGTAACCTGCTTGTCATCAATCTCCTCCTCCTCCTCTTCACCAAATTCTAGTGGAGGCTGCCAGTGAAATGCTTGCTTTCGCTTTGGAGCCTTGTGCTTTTTGTCTTTTTTCCCTTTCAATTTCTCTTTCACTTTTTTGGTGTGTTCTCTTTTAAGATTTTCCTTTGACCCATGTTTGTGCTTTTGTGGCTTTCCTCTACTGCTTTCAGAATTGGAACAAGATCCCTCAGAATCAGAGGTTGATGTGCGCTGTCTGCTTGATTTCCAAGCGCCCTTATCATCAGGCAGTGAGGTATGTGTGGACGACTTTGTTGTGGGTTTGACTTTGATGTGAATTTCACTACCCTCTGATTCGGAATCGGATGTGGCCTCACCTTCCTCCTTGTCAGAGGATGGCTGCGAGTCATTTCTACTGTTTTTAGCTACATCTCGTTCTGAATTTGACTCAGAGTCCCATTTACTCCCAGCATAATTCTTCCTTCTGGGCTTACTGCCATTTCTAAAGTGATCAGAAAGATTCTCTTTCAAAGTTCTTTTTTTTGAATGAGGGCATTCCCGTTCAGGCTTGGATTTCTCTTCACCTCTGTTTTTTTCTTGTTTGTTACGTGTTCTTTCCATTTGGCCCTGCTTCTCTCTTTCTTGGGCTGACTGTGTAGCCCGAACACTTGACTGCTCACTGTCTGAAGAATAGTCTAAAGATGATCTGCTCTCGCTATACCTTCTCTGACATGAAGACCTGTCTCTACCTTTCACATATTTACTGTGAAGTGTCTTTTCGGAGCTGCTGCTGTGCCTTTTATGTGAAACGCTGTTTTTTTTCCTACTGGATCTAAGTTTCCTCTTAGCTCGTCTTCCATCATCACTGCTAACAGAAGTATATGAAGATGATCTACTACACTGTGAATGATCACTGTATTTACTTCGTGAATGAGATCTAGATGATGGAGACCTAGACCTTAAATGTGAACTAGCTAGACTACGTGACCTTGTATATGATCTGGAATAAGATCTACTCCTAGAAGATCTGCTCCTTGACCTTGGTGAGCTTTCTGAACTTCTATCACTGTATTTTGAATACGTGCTCTGATCACTTTCTGAATTTTTTTCTCTTTTATGGTAGGATGTTGAGCTACCAGTCTCTTTAATATTTGGTAAACTGTAAGTGCTTTGGATGGGCAGCAAGTGGGTTGTTTTAGCTTTCATTTCCTGAATTCGCTCATAAGAGGGCTTCCAAGGTTTCTGTCCAGGCTTCCATCTTGAAGGGGGGGGGCTGTCACTCAGTGGTATTACAGGAATATTTTCTGCTACAACAGGCTGTACTACTACATTTTCATTTTGGGCCATGGTTGCTCTTAAAGGTTCTGTTTTAACTGGTTTATTTTCACTTAACTGAGAAGCTGTTCTTCTTGGTGATTTTGATGCTCTCTTTTGGTGCCCAGACTTGGAACTAGATCTGGATTTCGATCTACTTCGAGAATGTGAGGACTTCGATGCAGTCTTTGATCTTGAGCTTCCTCTAGAGTAGGACCGTGAGTGAGATTTCGATCTGTATGAGTCTCTGCTGGAATGGGTTAAAGAGCTCTGAACATCCTTATCAGATTTAGACCAGTCTCTCTTTGATGAGTGATGAGACGATATTGAGGAAGAACGAGAACTCCTTTCTCTATCACAAGAGGATTTCATTCTTCGAGTGGAAGATTTTGAGGATTCTATGTCAGACAGCATAAGAATCCTTCTCTTCTTTGTTTGTTTGTGTCTTCTGCAATGTTTCTGCTTTTTCCCTTTCTTTTTATGCTTAACTTTTTTCTCTTTTCTGCGTTTCTTATGGTGGCCATCAGAGTGTCTTGCTGTACTAAGGTCTGAATGATATCCATTATAGGACCATGATCTTGATCTCTGGGACAAGCTTCTTTCATCCCATCGGCTTGAACAGGGGTCACTTAACCTACAGAAAGGACACAATATTCATGCAGTGATTTATAAGCACGTTTTCTATGCCTTAAAACGCAGCTTTGTTAAGCACACACAGGAAGCGTGAATCAAAGAGTTATAGGCCTGGTCTTGTTATACTTTCAGAGACACACACTGAGATCTACTAACGGATTCACTTATGAAAGGATTTTTTTTTTAAGCTAAACAAAGAATCTTACATTTGTTGGGAAAATGTTTTTGAAAATCAAACCAACTAATCACAAGAACACTACTGAACTCAATCACAAGAGTTCCTGGCTGTTACCTGCTAACAACCCTCTGCCTCTAGAAACAATTTTTGAGGGCATGTCAAAACAAGGTCCCAAACAATTTTGTTGATTTTCTAAAAGATGCAGGACAGCTGCTTGAAACCAGCATGAATCTTGTTTTTTCTCCACCTCACAGAAGTAATCCAGATTTCCCCTAAGACTGTAAACTACTTAAAACAGAAACTGAGGACAAAGTACACAAAAACAGATACAGGCTTTACAATCTCAGTGGTAATGTCAAGGCTCAGAATTGAAAGTCCTCAGTACCACTGTGTCTGAGCCACGTTTACACAGCAGATGCATTCCTTCTCCTCCTTTTCCCAATTCCGAACCACTCTGCAGGATGTCCACAGAGAGAGAGAGAATTCTACCATGAAGAATACACAGCGTCCCATTAGTATATTTTTCACTAGCTATTCTGGGGCCTGTCCCCTTCCTAAAATAAATATTCCCCTGTGGGACATAACTGAAGGTACGAGATACGTATACTTCTAAAGAAGCAACAGTCCCTGAGATCAAAAGTCAACGTGCACACTGAGTGCAGGTGTTCCTATCCACCAATGAACTCAGCATTGACCTGGCTGGCTAGAAAAGAATCTGCTACATAATTTCTAAGTCCTAATCATTTCTAAAATTGACTAAGAGGTCATTAAAAGATACAGGCTTATAGTTTTTGTTAAGGAAAACAGGATTTTGATTTAAAAGCCCAACTAGTTAAGAGTACTACTTTCACCAAGAAGTCCCAAATGTATTTCCTTTGGTCAGAGTCTAATTCTGACTGTGAATCTTTAACGAAATGTCCAGAATTTTATCGAATCCCTTTAACACTTAAAATAGAACAGACCCAGGATTGTGCTTATACTCAAAGCCCTTACTTATCTCCTTTACTCCATTTTTCTCCACTAGGTGGTCTGTATGCTCGTAATCTCTGCATTTCCTCTTTCCAGTGAGGAGGTGTTTCACTGCTGTCATCATCATCTGACTCAGAACAGGATCTTGACCTTGGAGGTGTGTGATAGCGCTTTAAAAACAAAGAGATACTATTTTTAAAAATGCATCTCAACAGTCTGCTATAGGACAGAGTTAAGTAAAAGATCCAATCTCAGATCATCCCATCAAAGGCAATGATTCAGGTTGCCAAAAGGGTGGTCTAAAGTTATTTCTTTTCCTTTTTTTTTTTCTTTTTAATTTTTATTTTAGGTTCGGGTGAAGTTATTTCAAACGAGGCATTAAAAAAGATGGGCAAGGCTGAGAGATTCACCTGTAATGCACATAAACTTTTCCTCGTCAGTCTTAATGAATACATTCATTAGCCTAGATTATTCAACATGCCAGATTTCTCAGCATACTCACTGACGGTTTTACACGTTCCTCTTTTTAGACTCAATTAAACCCATTCAAACACAGCAGAATACTTTGATCTAACAGCAACATCTTCCCATAATTATGGAAAATAAAATTAGTTCCTTGAATAGATTTTGTATTATATCTAAAATTAAAGCTAGGATTTTGATGATAGGTAAACATTTTTTCCTATTTAGATATATAATTTCAAAAAAAGTCTTATCACACATACAATTGTGCCCCTTCCTTTAATCTTCCGTCCAGACTTTGATACAGATGGTTTCTGATCACTTACAATGGGTGCAACATCAGGAATCTTCCTAGGAAAAGAAGATGGTGATGAAAATTAAAAATAAGCAAAGGGGAAGCATTTTTCTCAATGTTTAAATACAGAATTTATGTCCCTATAATACCAAAACACTTCATTTATCCAACACTTTTGTAGAATGAGACATTCCACATAACCTTATTTTGTAAGCAAACCATTTAAATGACAAAACTTAAAAAAAAATCAATTGAGTAAAAATACATGATACTGATACTAGTAGCTCTCCTTTTAAGCACAGTACTATCTTTTTTTTTTTTTTTTTGAGACACAGCCTTGCTCTGTCGCCAGGCTGGAGTGCAGTGGTGCAATCTCTGCTCACTGCAACCTCCAACTTCCTGGTTCAAGCGATTCTCCTGCCTCAGCCTCCCAAATAGCTGGGATTACAGGCACGTGCCACCACGCCCAGCTAATTTTCATATTTTCAGTAGAGATGGGTTTTACCATGTTGGTCAGGATGGTCTAGATCTCCTGACCTCGTGATCTGCCCACGTTGGCCTCCCAAAGTGCTGGGATTACAGGCATGAGCCACCGCGTCCAGCACCATCTTTAAAGAAAATCCTTTTGTCTCTCCTACTCTAAGCTGCCCCTTCATCTTAAATGCTTTGAATCTACTGCCTTATTACATCATATATACTATCAAAGTATAGTTTCTGTGACGCCTACAGTCTTCCATGCATGAGGTCTTTTCACACCTCAATTTATTTTGTGTCTGTTACTATTAACATAATGGCTAGTTTCTATTGGGCAATTACTGTGTCTGGCATTGTATTAATAACCATTTAAAAATACTTTTTAAGAGCTATCTATATATACACATTCGCACACATGTATATATACATACATAACATAAAATGCCATTTATAGCATTCTAAATGTACCGTTCAGTGGCATTAGTTACACTGACAATGCTGTGCAAGCATCACCGTCTTTTCAAAGCTTTTTCATCACCCCAAACAGAAACTCTACTCATTAAACACTAACTCCCCATTCCCTGCTCTCACCAGCAGCCCCTGAAAACCTCTATTCTGCTTTCCATTTCTATGAATTTGACGATTCTAGGAACCAAGTATCATATGGTTCCATTTATATGAGGAATATTCAACACTTTGGGTATTTGTCTTTTTTGTGACTGGCTAATTTCAAGAAAGAAAACAAATTTCCAAAAATATTCTGTTGACGAAACTCAAAACACTATAACAACAGCTGAGTATCATTTTTTGTAATAAAGGTCTACTAATGAGGAGAATGCAATTCATTTTTGGGAGGTGGAATAACTTTGCTTAATTAGGGCTCAAAGTTAGTATTCTCTATTAAAACAACTAATGTTAAAAATTGGCTGGGGGTGGTGGCGAGGCACCTGTGGTACTAGCTACTCAGGAGGATAAGGCAGGAGGATCACTTGAGCCCAGGAGGTTGAGGCTACAGGGAGCCATGATCTTGCCACTGCCCTCTAGTCTGGGCGACAGAGCAACAGAGCAAGTCCCTGTCTCAAAAAAACAAGAAAATACAAAAAACTCCCAGATAATGTTAATGCTCTTCCTCAATGCTCATCTGTAATGAGATTTTATGGATTTCATCTTTAAAAAGATCTCTTCACACAGATGGTTGATACGTGTAGCGGCTGAAATTCTGGTGAGTTACAGCTTTATCACTGTGATTTGTAGTGCACCTCCTAGCACGTAAAGGCGTGAGAGCACTACATACAAACTCTGCTGCAGCAGAACAAATGTAAACAAATGAATGAGGTCATGTTTCAATGAAACTTTATTTTTAGATAAACTTTATTTTTAGATAGAATTTCACATAATTTTCATGTCACAAAATATTCCTTTTTTGATTTCCACTAAAGAAACATTTAAACACATCAAAAACACATTTAACTCATGGACTGTACAGAAACAACCAGGAGGCCAAATCTGGTCCATGAGTCATAGACTGCTGACGCCGATCATGTAACAATGAAGTTGATCTTTCAAGTTTCCTACTTTCTGAAAGCCAAATGGATTTGACCAATGAACTTGGTGACTTACAAGGAAGAAAAGTTCTACTATAAAGTCTGTTCACAAGCTAGAATTTTTAATAATGAAAACATAATATGTTGAGCTACTAATTCAAAGATACACGCCATTTTGCAACAGCTTTTTGAAACAAGACAGTATCAGGCTTTAAAAAAATTTAATAAACTAAATAACTTTATACAAAGACCTAATTATAAACAAGGACTCTTATACTTTTCAGCTTTCAAAATAACTCTTCATAGGGTACTTATCAATTATACCAGCCGCTGTGGTATTTCTATTTCTTTTCATGAAACATTTTCTTTTAATAATTCTAAACTTAAATCTAATATACAAAATACATTACTATTTTCTCAGACCAAATCTAAAACTACACGTTCACTTTTCCAATGCAAAGAAGTAATCGTTGAACAAGTTAACAAAAGTAACTTATGATACTGAATTATATTTCCAATCATCATGCAATTAATTATGCACTATTCAAATTGGAACGCATGCTTCGTCACTCAAATGGATCCAAAAAATTCATCTAACTCTCAATTCTGATAACTACAATCTCACCCCTCTAATGAAAGGCAAAGGCAGGAAGATTAGGAATGAAATCTTCCCAGATCACCAATAAGAGCTTCCCTGACCAACTTGCCCAACCTCCTCTCCCTACTAGAATGTGAATTCTGAAAGGTAGTGTACATAACAGTCATTAATCTGGTATCTCCCATATTTCCTACTTATCATTCATTAATCTGATAGTCCCACAGTATCTTTCAATGTGCTTCAAACATGAGTCATGTTCCATACATGAGTGTAGAACTGCAGTGAGCTGATGGAATTGTCTCTCAGAGAAATAAAAACATATAGTTTAGTCATCCTACTTACGGTTCAGGTTCCGCAGTAACAACAGGCATATCTCTTCTCAGTAAAAATCGGTTCTCAGGCACTGGAGGAATTTCTTCTGGGCGAACCACAGGTTTTTCCCTTTTAGCATTGGCATCAACTGACCTTTTTTCATTGGTATCACTCCTCTCAGAATGACTTAGAGAGAACAAATCAAGTCACTGATTAAAATGTATAATGTTTGCATTTCATAATAAAAGCACATAAAATTAGATATTAAAACAGCATAATTAACGATAGTGTACAAGTCTCACTCAAAAGAGTTATACGATTTTCACAAAGAGAACATATTATCAACCAGATATTAAAAACCCAGAGGCTAACATTTTGAAATTGTTAAATGATCCTAACATTTTTATTTTAAGAGTTCCAGGAAGCTAGGTATTGTGGCTAACACCTGCAAGCCCAGTACTTCAGGGGTCACATGGGAGGATTGCTTGAGGCCAGGAGTCAGAGACCAGCCTGCCCAACACAGCAAAAGACCCTGTCTCTACAAAAACTTTAAAAATTCGCCAGGCACAGTGGTAACTCCTGTACTCCTGGCTACTCAGGAGGCTGAGGCAGAAGTATCTCTTGAGCCCAGGAGGTCGAGGATGCAGTGAGCTATGATTGTGCCACTGTACTCCATCCAGCCTGGGTAACAGAGCAAGACCCTGTCTCTTAAAAAAAAACACAACAAAATAACTAACAGTTCTTAGGACTATTTTCACCTGAAAACTGAAAACACACACAATCTTTGAAATGAAATGCCTACACTACCAACTCCTAGATTTGGCAGATTTCAATTTAGATAAAGTTTAAAAAATACCATCCCTTTTCAGTAACAGCTAATACAATTGAGTTTACGGAATTACACATATTCCTCCCTTTCTGGAGTGTGTGTTTTTAGGTGAGTACACTGGTGTTTAACACGTACCCTTTGGGGCTCATTACATGTTTATTCCTTGGTTCTTCTGAACTGCTTGCTTCCTTTCGCCTCTTTTTAGAATGTTTAACTTTTGGCCTCCTCTTATGTTTCCTCCTTCTGCTTCTCTCATGTTCAATTTCACTTTCTGAAGATGATTCTGAAGAGGAAGAGGAATTGGAAGAGGAATCCAAGTCTTCTGAATGAGCTGGTTTCTTCCTTTTTTTCTCAAAAACTTTTAAGAAACATTTATAAAAACATTAGTACTAAATTTCAGTGCCTATGCTTCAGAGTAAAAACTATGATTACTGAATATCAAAATACGCTTTATATACAGCGAACAAAAAATGAAATGTAGTTTTTTCAAGTTTATAATAAAATTACTGGCAAGATTGTAAGGTAATTAAGTCCCCTGTCCTTATGAAGTCTAAATTCTAGCTGGGTTAAATAACAAGAAATAGGCCACACCCATAATAAAGGCGGTGGCTCACACCTGTAACCCCTGCATTATGGGAGGCCAAGACAGGCGGATCACTTGAGGTCAGGAGTTTGAGACCAGCCTGGCCAACATGGTGAAACCCAGTCTCTACTAAAAATAAAAATTAGCCAGGCATGGTGGTGCATGCCTATAATCCCAGGTACTCCAGAGGCTAAGGCAGGAGAATCACTTGAACCCAGGAGGCGGAGGTTGCAGTTAGATGAGACTGTGCCACTGCACTCCAGCCTGGGCAACAGAGCAAGAGCCTGTCTCGAAATAAATAAAAAGAAAGAATTGCATAATATGACAAATGATAAGTGCTAAGACAGCAAAACAAAGCAGTGTGAAGGGAATAGGGAGATTAGGGATAGTTTAAGATAACATTTGAACAGAGACCTACAGAAGCAAGGGACGATATCATGCAGTTATCTTAATGGAGGGTGTTCCAGTCAAAGAGAACAGGCAGCACAAAGTCCCTGAGTGGCTGGCATGTCTGAACAAAGGTCAATGTGCCTGGAAGGCAATGAATAAGGGAAAAGAGTTCAGACAGACAGCAGAGAGCTGGACCAGCCAGTGCCTTAGAGACCACTGCAAAGACTTAGGCTTTGGAAGACTGAGAAGGGAGCCCTTCAAGGGTTCTAAGCAGGCATGACATGAATGCAAATTATGGTTCAAAGGGGTCACTCTGGTTGCTGTTAAGGACAGACCACAGTGGTCCTAGGACATAAGCAATAAGACCAGTTAGGAAGCTGCTGCTGCTGACAGAAGGTCATAGGACAGAGGCGAGGCAAACAGTAATCCAGGCACAAAATACTGGTGGTTTGGATCAGGCTGGTGGCAAGGAAAAGGACGAGGAGGTGAGATCTGACGAGATCCGCTGAAAGGTTAAATGTGCAGGGTACGATTCAGAGGCACCAACGGCTACTGTTGTACCAGCAGTTCCACTGCCCAAATCCAGTCAGTCTTCAACACTGCTTTACCTGCGTCCTAGCTTCGTCTACTGTCAAAGAAGTTCTTACCATCTTTCACGGAGTCTGTGGCAAGTACCCCGCAGTCAATAACTCGCACATCTGCATATGGTCTGCTTGCAGCATCAGTTTTCAGATTTTCAATTTGTTCGATTACTTCAAAACCAGAAATAACCAGTCCAAAGACGACATGCACCCTGTCAAAATACAAATTCAAGACACAACTGGTCTGATAATTAAGCTATAAACAATAATCAAGACAATTAACTGTAATCAATGACATGTCCACAGACCTGAAAATAAAACCAAACTGTTTGTTGTAAGAAGCAACTAGAAAGGATGAGAACTTGAAATCTGCTTCATAAAAGGAAACAATTATGCAAACTGGGCCTCGGTTTTCTGCCTTTAAAACAATGGTTCTTAACCATTTTAGATAAAGAGTTTGGTAACATTCAGACTTTACTTGTTACTCGGAAACCCTCCTTACAGGGACACTTGAAATTGTGCTGTTTACTATCTGGCCCATTTTGAAAACTTTTGAAAAAAACAAAACAAAACAAAACTGTATTGCTGAGAAGCCCATCCATGAGGACAGATTAATGACTCCTTCAGTGACATGAGAGCCATGGGGTCTCAAAAAGACTCTATTTTGTGACCCTAAGGAAAAGGCTGGCTGTGAGATTAACCCCAACATCAACTCTGCACTCCCTTGAGGGCTTAACCATGCTCCAATCTGTCGTTATGGCTGGCCACCCAAACACTTCCCCAAGGTAGTAAGAATATAACTCTTACCCATCCAGGTGTGGAGCAGGCTTTGTGGTACTATGTAATAAACATCAACACAAAGATGATGTCAAACACGGTGTGTTCGGGTGAAGAGAGCAGAAAGGTTTAAACACAGCATGTAGAGAACAGAGAAGTAAAGATAAAAAGATAAGGGAACAAGTTAAACGTGATATACATCTAACCTTAAAGACCCCCAAAACAGCAATAGTAGCCATTTTACTAATTAAAAAAAAAAAACCTCACAGTCATCTCTATTAGACTACATGTACGTATACATAATATATGAAATAGGTTTGACTTATATCCATAAATATTTAGCATGAATACACATAAAAATTAAAGTTACTCTCAAATCTAAAACAAAACAAAATACTTTTAAAAACCCTCAAAATGTATCAGCATAATTAAATAAGAAAAGCACTTCTTATTTGCCCTATGGAAAGAAAATGTGATTAACATTTGCCCCACACGTGTAAAAGTTTTCCTATTTGTGATGTCTCATATTGAGTCAGTCTGCATTTTTAGGCAGGCAGACAGAGGTAGGCCTTGGAGCTCTGTTTCCAGAACTTCCTGCCCCCCTTCCTTCACCCAAGGTGAAGCTCTGACACAGCAACTAAAAATGCGATAGGGAGAAAAGCTGCAATTGGCCAACCATTCTGATAGCAAAGTAATGATGGCTAACATTACAGGCATTTTAAATTTCCATGGCCCAGAAAACACCCAACCGGCTTCTTCTACAGTCACCAACGGTCAGACAATCTACAGGGTATATCTGGTTAAGATATTTTGAACCCAAGCTAGTTATTCAAAAGCAGAGAATTAGACTCAGAATTATACACCACAAGCGTCTTGATTTATAAGAATGAGAAATAGATATTTAAGAGATAGAAAACAAATCTGAGAGAGAAAAAAATATCACTAGATGTCAGGCCATGTTAAAGCAGTCAACTGTACTAGAAGCTCCCACATAAATTTTTACATTCATTTTAAAGCAATTTTAAGACATGTGAGTGAACAAAACCCAGTTTTTAACCATAGCAATGCTAAAAATCTTTATTGTACAAGGATTTGTAATGCTTATACTTACATTAAGAATATTAAGTTCTGCAAGAGCACTACATAATTTAATTTTTAAAAAGTAAAATGTCAACTTAAGAAGTCCCAGAATTTTAAAAGAAATACTAAGTTTTAAAACCACAAATATCAAATATTCCTCAGAAGAGTGAAAAGTGGAAATTCAGGCTAATGTAATTATAAAAATAAAAACAGGCAGCAAAAAAAAAAGAAAAAGAAAACAAAAACTAATGAATTAGTGAGCCACTAGTGTTTAAACCACTAAACTAGCACCTAGAAACCACTTTGGATGGTAACTTTAAGAGAGAAATGTGCTTTAACTATAAAGCTTTACCAAAGTACACTGAAGACAAGAAATTAGTACAGAAGCTAGACAGTGATTCCATTATATGAAAGATGTACAGAGTACTTATTTATTTATTTATTTTGAAATGGAGTCTTGCTCTGTTGCCCAGGCTGGAGTGTGATGGCACGATCTTGGCTCACTGCAACCTCTACCTCCCAGGTTCAAGTGATTCTCCTGTGTCAGCCCCCAAGTAGCTGGGATTACAGGCATGCGCCATCACGCCCGGCTAATTTTTATATTTTTAGTAGAGATGGGATTTCACCATGTTGGCCAGGCTGGATCCGCCTGCCTCTGCCTCCCAAAGTGCTAGGATTACAGGCATGAGCTACCACGCCCAGCCAAAAATGCTTCTAAAAAAGTAAAATTTTTCTACAATGTCTAAGGGATCAGCCCAAATATGTAGAAGTAAAAACAATGTATGGTTTCCTGATGAGACATATCCCTTTTCCTTCCCTGATCCTTTTTCCCATAACTCACAGATCTTGTAGTATTGGGGAAAGCCTACACATTTTTCTAAAACATGAAGAGCCCAATTCATCTTGGCTCATAGAAAGGTTGTAAAAACTACCTTATGGCAAACCTTTGGAGCACACGCTGAAATAAAACATTCCAGAGCAGTGTAGTGATTCAGCAACATACTACTTGAGACTCAATTTAAGGATGGAACAGCTATCATTATGACATTAAAGTTTAGTTTTTAATTCGAATGAAAACTGCCAAGAATAGGCAAACTTGGTCTTTTGTTGTAGTAGCGCAGAAAACAAAGACAGAAACGACTCTTTCTTTCAAGGACAACTCAGCCTGCCCATGGTGCCTAAACCTGATGTGAATGATTTAAGTGCATTACTTGGATCTGCAACTCAAGATACAGAAATGTAAGTCTGTACGTACTTTAATTAGATTAGATTACATATTAAGAATACTAAATATTTAACAAAAAGAAGCCCTCTGGAGTTCTCCACCCACATTCCAGGGGTAGAAATCCCAATGTAAAGCAGGTTTACTGGCACTGGGCTAATACAGGGATGAACAGAGGACATTAGCCAAAGAGGGTTACAAAAGGGTGGGGAGAAATAATATGCACCGTCTAGACTATTCAATTCTATTCAGAGAGGCAGAGAGCTCATCCCACGAACTCTTACTATTTCAAAACTTTCAATTAAAAAAAAATTGCATTGATCTTCAAAGCAGCTGTTTAAAGAGCCATGCAATGGTGGCCCATGCTCAGTAAGTGAAGGCCAGAGGCTATCATAAATGTTTAAATTTATATATGCTTATGAAAACATACCTAAAAAAGAGAAAAAACCACAAAGAACATTTCAGATTATAAAACCTTTCAATATGTATGCATTTCCATTTTCTCTTGTACTTAGAGACAGCGATTTCTCAGTTTCCCCAACCCCTGAATCTACTTTAAAAAAACGTGTCCAAGGTATTTAAGCCTTATAAATCCTAGAAATTGACAAGTGTCACTGCTACTCCAAAAACAATCTACCATTGTTTTATACCATTATCAGAGAAGCTTTTGCCCTTATAAAGAAATGACTAATTCCACACTGAAATGAGAACTAAAACCATACTATAAACTGTAGCCCCACTCCCCCACCCAGAAGATGTGCAGGAACTTGGTGGAAACTAGCCACTGAAGTTAAAATATAGTTCCCAGGATTAACCATGAAAAATAAAAGGCATTTGTTTTACATGTACTGCTGCTATACAGATAAAGCGAAAGTTTTTTTTCTTAAAATGTTTCAATGCACATAACAATAGAATTAAAGAGATAAAGGCAAAGAAAGAAAGAGAGAGAGCCTTAGAGTAATGAGACATTACCTTTGGAGCGCACGGTGTAACACTCTTTCTGTAAATTTTACACAAAAATGGCAAGAAATAAATTGTAATACACTTTTAAGACAAGACTGAATCTATGTTTTAATATCAATATAACTTTGAAATTAAATATTTTCAAGTTTTATGCAAAGCAAGAAAGCTTTTTTAAATGGAGGGCTCTAAATTTTCTTTCGTACGGGACATTTACATAGAGACGAATTATGCTTAAGAAAAGCACTGTATTGTGGCTGAGTGGGAATGTATTCATATCCTTAATATTAACACTAGAGTGCCAATAATAGCTATTAACATACTACATTTCCTTTCACAAATCCCAGAAATCAGCTAAGACAACATTTTCTCAAGAGAATAGTGTATCTTGAATACACATATAAACATAAAAATCTGAATATCCAGGAGCAGTTACTACTAGTTAAAAGCAAAACTGTCATTAAAAAAACTGAGTTAAGATCATCCAAAACAAAATTTCAAGGAACTTTTAACTAATTCATGTCAAATAATTAAAGAACCTTTCATGCTTCTACGTTTGAAACCTTTGTTTGGTAACATATCACACAGACTACTTTCAGGAGTCAATGAAAATGTTTGAACTGTAGTTACTGGTTCAGTGATGTCACATACACGTTGAGTTAAAATCACTGAACATAATAATAACGCAGCATAACTACAATTTAAGCGACCTTCTCAGAGGATAAAAAGGCAAGAGAGATGAAAATGTTAAGTGCAGTCAAATCTTAGCCACAATATCTTCTTTTCCTGTCTAATCTCTGATTTTCCCCATTATAAAGAATTTTTTTCAGAGAACACACACACTGACCAATATTTATCTGTGTTTAAACTTAAATAAATCTATTACTACTCAGATCAAAATACTATTATACCATGGACAAAATGCTTTATAAGAGTTCTGAACATAATAAATCTTGAAACATTTAACAATAAGCTTAAATGTATCGTAAAGGCATTGACAACATGAGTGTCAAAAAAGAACATAACGTTTGAAATAATGTGGAGTTTTCAATGAATGTTGCAAATAATAATAATAATAATAAGTGACTGTAGATGTAAAGTAGTATGGAAGAGGGAAATAAAGAAAACTGCTGCCCAATTTAGCTTTTAACATGCAGTGCTTTCCCTTCAACTCCTGGAGCTATCACGCTGTCATGGAAGAGGTACCAAGCTGTACAGAATGATAACACTCGTATAAGGACATGGAAACTGGCCAAGCCACTTGACAATGCTCTACCCGTGTGTTCCAAAAGTCACCAAAGTAGAAGTGCCTTCTAAAATTCAGCACTAATGTTAAGATAATACACACCAAACATTACTGAATACAAAATGTCTTCTACATTGCTAGTATATACGTCATATAAACAGTTAAGTTATTAAGCCTGACACTTAATATTCAGCGAATTTGGTTTATGGCTAAGTTTCATGAACATCTTTGCTCACGAAAAATTCTGAGGTTAATGTATGAAGGTATTACCCCCCCAAAAAAGGAAGGAAAAAGCTAGAACTTCTCAGGTTAACACTTACTAGCATTTCTTCTCACATAAATTTATGAATATGTGGGTAGAAAAAGAATTTCTACCCCAAATCTAGTTTTACTACACAGCTTTACAAACCCCTTAGAACCAACCACTCCTCAACTCTCCTGGCTCCACTACTTTGCAATGATCAGCACTCCTCTCCCATTTAGGTACTTGCAAGGCAGATTCTTAAATGACATCAAGTATGTTCTAAAACTTATTTTGTCCCTCCCTGTTCATTGCCCTATTTATGACTGTTAAAAAATGCAGCAAACCTGTTTTGTTTAAAGTTCAAAACTGGACTCTTCTATACTATCTTGTTTTCTTACATTGTTATGATTAATAATGAGCACTGACAGTGGCCATTGACAGGAACTGCTCTTGCAAGCTCTGCAGATTTCTACTCTATGGCTGTGCAGACTAAGATGTTCTAACAGCAGCTGATGAAGAGACTTCCGTTGCTCTTGATTCAGGCAAATAAGCTCAATACTTCTTTAAGACATCTTTCAGACTAATGAAAACCAGGCAATTACGGCTGTTTCCATTAGGCAAGACAATGTTTGCACATAAATCAGTCTACACATTCAGAAACTTAGGACTACCCTACAAAACACTTTCTTCCTTTTATATCCAAATTTTCATAACAATGTTTAAAGAACAACTAACTCAAGGTACATGGGAGACTAAAATCAAGGTTTCCTGACAGCTATATTAATGTCCTATCCCAGAAGTTATTTACTACAAAGCTATAAATTATTTAATCTTTTTCATGACTATTTTATGCAACAGCTTTGTCTTTTTGATTAACGTATATAAAGACAGTCAGAAAATTACAGTCAGAATGAATAAGCTATCACTAACAGTAAAAGGGGAAAGAATGTTTCCCCAAATGTCATTTTGTTTTCCAGCAAAATGCCTGATGCCTCTAATACTTAACTAAAATAAATTCAGAGCAGAGTGATTAATAAAATTTTGAGCTTAAATATGCTTAAATTTATAGTAAAGGTATTAATAATACGAATAAATGTGCAGCATTCTTTTGCTAGCTATCACTTTCTTCCAGATTATAAGTAAAATTTCTATAATCTGGACTTTACATGGTTTTTCAAGAATTTAGCATAACCTACAGAATGAAAAGGTTGGACTAGATAATCTCTAAATCCCTTTCCAATCTATGATCTTATAATTCTAGCTTTTATTGGGGTTTCTTCCTATTCTTTAACCTAAAAAATAAATAAGAATACAAAGGACAAAATAAACACCAAATGAACTTGGTAACTTTAGTCCCAAGTCTTTAAATTCCTTCAAAAATGTTCAAAATAAAACCACTGTTTCCTTAGTGATTCACGGGGATAGTGCCATATGTCACTTCTTCCACGTTTCTTGAGCAGTACTATTCCAAAAAAGAATCAAGTTTTCTTCTATATAGGCCCCAAGAGCAAAATCACTATGACAAATATAGTAGTAGAAATGGTTACTGTAAAAATTACAAATAGATGTATAGAAGAAAATCTGATTTTCATCATGTATATAATTGTTCCAGCCAAAGAAAGCAATATATGCAAAATCATGTTGAATAAAAATGACATATGCCTAAGGAAGGGTGAGTTTTTAAATGTGTAAGTAATGAAGACAGAAGTTAATGCACAAAACACAAGAATCCTTGAGGGATGTTTTGCAAATACCCATACTAACGGCACCAAATCTATTCCTTAGGAATTGCAGAGTAACCGATTCATAACAAAACTACAAAAACAATTTTGCAAGGATGTATGTATTAGAAATCCTTATTGAGCCTATAAAGCAGGAACTATAAAGACAGTTTTTTTTTTTTAAATTTTACCACCATTCTTACACTATCCTTTCTTTTTCAGATTCCAGAACTGCCACTCAAGGTGCCATATGAGGAGTTGTGATAACAGAGTAAAAGGCAGGAGCCATCCTTCAGAAGCCATCAGCAAGCTCTATGACCATCAGAGCTATTATCTGTGATTATATACATAACCTGAAGATAGTATATTACACTTTTTTACTACCTTCAACTACAAAAGGATTTGGGCTCGTAAAACATAGTTTCAAAGATTTTTCTTTTATCAGCCACCATCTCCATTTTTACCTATTCCTCCAATAAATGCAAGAATATGTTTTATTTTGAAACATGAAAGTTAACTTGATTTTATCCTGCAACTCATGAGAACTGATCTTTCTAGCCAGCATAAAGAAAGTATATAGGCACAAAAGACTTAGAAAAAAAAATATGAGGATTAAACACTCAATTACTTCCAAGACTGCTTATTCCTTTCCAAAGAGACTGCAAATCTCTTTCCAGAAGGAAACTTCAAACTGAAAGTAAAAAATTTTCTATTAGAAGTTCACAATGATTTTAGTGCTAAAGTAAGTTAATTTTGAAAGTAAGTTTAAAAATTCTAATTGTAATTTATTGATTTAAAATTTTTTATTTGGCATTCCTCTTCAAAAACAGTAGTCAAATATAAAATTTGGTCATGTAGAAAACAGTAAAGGCCTTTACCAGATATTCCTAGAAAATACTTAAGCAAGTACTAAATAACATAAGATTTTTCTGAAGGGAGAATCTCGTATACTGAATTTTAATTAGTGGATGTTTAAAGATAGCATTTTAAATCAGTGTTAACGCTAACATTTTATGAATAAGCAAATGTATGTGACAGTATCAAGAAGCTGCTGCTACTTGATAAATCAAATTTTCACTGTGCTGATATAAAAAAGGAAATCTAAAAGAAACTTTAGAGCCCTCAAATGGTAGCTTCTTGACCAATGAATCATTATGTTTTTCATGTTCACAGTTCAGATAAGCTTAAAAATGGAAATGGAAAACCTCAACCAAAGAATAAACAATTTTTACATGAAGTTACTATTAAAAGGTTTCTGAAAATATTTCTTTCTACTTTGCACCGGCTCTTAAGAAGGTTAAGAATAGAAAATCACACTATTAAAGAACAGTAATAACTAACCATCTATGGGATCAAAACAAATAAGAGAACAACTGTTGTAGGTCTTTTGCCTATATAATTCTAAGCATAATCATCTTTTATAAGCTTTCCATTTTTAGGACATTCTTAGGAACAGAATGCCCCTTATCTGAACTTTACCAGATCATGTAGAAATATATTTTTCAGATAAATTTAACATTTGAGTTTTGTATGTGAGTAATACACTCCTTTAAAAACAGGGAAGCGCCATTCATACTCATTCATTCAGAAAGATGACAAAGAAAATTTTTTCAATAAATCATTAATAAAATATTTCTCCAACATACATAGCACAACTGAGATTCACTTCTAATCAAAAGCAATGACCCTCCTGCTGAAAAGTTATCTTTCATATTTTATATGATAGAATTATGATAAAAATAGGTTTTGAAGCAGCTTTAGATAAGAATATAACTAAAAGTACGCCAGGCGTGGTGGCTCGCGCCTGTAATCCAAGCACTTTGGAGGCCAAGGCAGGTGGATCACCTGAGGTCAGGAGTTCAAGACCAGCCTGACCAACATGGTGAA